ATTAAGACCATCTTGCTAATAATAATCCTTCACATGCAAAAGCAAGTGTTAAGCCTAGATCTGCAGGAGGATTAGAAATTAGAAGAACGTGCTCACATTCTTCAATAAGAGAATTAATCCAACTTGTCTACATGGAATTCATAATTCTAGGACAAATTTGGAACACATAAGACAACAACCTTAAATAAAATCCTTCCAGTTAGTATACAAAGGAAAAATTGAGATTTCTATTGATCAGATTCAATCAAGTAAAAACTTAAAGGAAAAAAAAGCAAGCATGATCAAGAAACTAAACTTTGATTTTCCTCAATAAAATGAAAAAACTCTTCGAAACTCAGTTTTCTCCAATCTTCTAAGCAACCAAATAAACCTCTGACAATGATGGCATCAAAACAGATAATAAAAGATAACAACGCAGTCTCTTGAATCAAATGAAAAATGTGATAAATTTAGAGAAATCAAAATCAGATCTTAAAGGAATACATATGAGAAAGAGAAATCCCGAAGAGAGAAAAGTTTTACAAACGTAGAAGTCAAAGAATTGATGCAACAAACCCAGCAAAGAGACGAGCATTGCAGAGACTGCTGTATCCCTCTCCGCATTGATGTATAATTTGGACAATAATTATGACCATTTGCACTTGGCACAGTATCAAGAAGATGAACTCCGGCTTGCTTTAGAGATGGACCAAATAAAAATTAGTTAAAAGAAGATGGAAAAACAAAATTTTTCAACAACACTTAAACTCTACTAGGCAAGCATTCTGGAAACAAATCATAATTATATTAGATATATTGCTCTCCTCTTTTACAGAAAAAAAATGTAACTTGAGAAGTTAGATTCTCATGCACTTGCAAAACTATAGGCAACACTGGAGCTGTGGAATTATCTAATCTAATAGACAGACAAGATTCAAATAAATTATTGAAATAAAATACCAATAAAGATGGTCGAATTGAAGCAGAATTTCATCTTGAAGGCAGAGTAATCACTCGTCGTTTCAAATGACAAAATTGTGCCCAAAGATATAATTATTTCATACCTTCCTATGGTCATTTAAGAGGGACAAGGGCAGTTTCTTCTCCTTCAAAGTCGTATTATAGTTAACTTGACATCTGATTTTGAGCTCTCTACAGAAAAATTTGAGCTCTTGTTGATACCAACACCTTCAAATAGTGAATAGTGATTATTTCAAAGCAAACAGGCCTTACAATGTCCCTGGTATATATAGTTCCTTCACCAATATGTTTAATTAAAAGGAAACATGCTCATAAGAACCCCTTTTCCCACATAATTGGTAATTTGATGTGTTATAGGAAAATCCACTTTGCTCTTAAGACTGCAGATTGCAACATGGGATTAGGAGTCAAATATGAAGTATTCGAACAATGCTTTTTGTTACGTAGGGATCCAGTAGCTCCTCTTTGTTGAGAAAAATTGGCGCGCGAAATAAATTAATTCTTGTGAACAAACACGTGAACAATAACAAATAAATGGTGAAACAGGCGGCTTAGCCGACCAATATTAACGGTTAGTGAAAAAAGCAACGTAGCCAGTCAAACAAAATAAATTAGGCAGTTTAACCAGCCATTTAGGAAGAAAATAAAATGGGCGGTTTAACTAGCCACTTAAGAGGAAACATAAATAATAAGATGACACCAAATTTTACGTGGAAAAACCCCCAAAAACTATTGAGGGAAAAAACCATGGGACAAACTCCGAAGGGTATTCCACTATGTAATAAAATTGTACAGAGTATACACTCAAATATTTTCTCTCTCTTGGTGTTTCCCACTCCCCCAGGATATGATCACAATCCTGATAAACTCACAATTTTATCACTCAATGTACTCTCTCTATGGAGCACACTCACACCTAAGCTTTTAATGCCTAGCTCTTACCCCCCCTTTTTTTCTTGTTTCTCGGAGCTCTCTCTTGCTTGCTTATTGCCTTGCCATTGCATGCTATTTATAGGGTAAAAAACCCAACCACCCGGTGCAAGTTTTCTACCTCATTAAATGGGGTTCATCTACAATGGTTGAAATAACCATTGTAAATATTCAACAATGGCTGCTGTAGCTTATAGCCTTTTGCAATAGGGTGGTAGAAATGGGGTTGGACTTTCATGGGCTGGAACTAGAAGCTTCTGCCAACACTCTTCACTAGCTTGCTTTACTAGCACAACACCAACATCAGCCTGCCCACAGATGAATGTTAACCGACTAACATTCAAGTATGGAAATTAAGTAATTATCTTTTGAAATAACAGTGCTTAACCAGTAATTTACTTTAGCTAATGAGACATAATCAGACCATGCAATCAGAAAATACAATAAAATAATTTGTTAAAAAAGGTAAAAGAAAAGAAGAGGGGTGCAATCTGACCTGAATGCTAGTCCATCTTTCGTGATTCTTGGTTGTTGATGATGAAGAAAAAGTAACAAGCTAGCGTGCAAATATAGTCGATGAAATTAAATCTTGGTTGTTGATGATGATGATGTTGTTGAATGAAGTTTGTGAAGGAAATATATGCAAATGCAACCAACTGAAACGCATATTACAAGAAAAGCAAAGATGCAGGTGCAGTAAAATATAAATAGCAAAAGGAAATTAGATAGATCCTAATTAATTCAAGTCTTTTTCGCACACAACTTCAAAGGTAAAATTACACAGATAATAAAGAAACAAACATTTCTAGTTTTCCACTTAGAATTTGACATATTTAAACACACAACACACAAATATCAAAAGAAAAACAAAGATTATATGAAATTGAAAACCCAATAGCCAGAGCAACTAGTTCAAATGTAATTTCCTTCGACTTTCTTGTGGTTACAGAGCCGAATCCCAATAGCTGCCAATGGGGGAGAAAAGAATAGATGAGAGAGAAAGATTTATTAAGAATGGAAAACTCTTACTAAGTTGAATCAAAAATGGAAAATTGAAGATTAAGAGGCTTACATTTGTGGTGCGCCCTACCAAAATGCTTTCTCTGGGAATTCACAGAAGGGTAAAAGGATGTCTTTTGCATTGGGATGGTCCCATTCCAATGATTCCCACCATTCTTTTGGCCATACCACAATTTCTTTGAGGGAAGGAGGATGAGATGATTGGGCATTATCAAGCAAGGGAGAATTCAGAGGAATCCTCTTTAGCTTCTCGCAGTAGGCAATCCTTGGACTCTTGATGGAATCACAAATCAACACACTGGAGCTGTTGCAGATGCTCTTCAATGCGGGCAAGTTTGTCAATTGCAAGCTTTGTAAATTGGGTAGAGTGACTTTTTCTTCTTCATCTGCCGATGACGATATCAGCTCCTTCATTCGCGAACACCATCGAACCTTAATAGTCTCTAGAGATTGGAAGTAGCGGAGCAGCCATTCAGATGAAAATACCTTCTTTAATTGATCACACCCAAAAACCCTTACTTCATTAAGAGAGAAAAAGCTTGTGGGAGGCACAAGTAGTGATCAACCAAGACCTTGTTCATCAAACACGGAATTTAGATGCAGTAAAGAGTAAAGGTCTAGATATTCAAGATTTGGAAGTGGGTTGAACCTTGACCAAAAAACACTCTCTATATTTTCGCATTGATGAATTTTAATCTTCTTGATGGAATCACAAATCAACACATTGGAGCAATTGCAGATGCTCTTCAATGAGAGCAAATTCTCCAATTCTAAGCTTTGTAACTTGGGTAGAGTGACTTCTTCTTCTTCATGTGCCGATGATGATATCAGCTCCTCAATTCGCGAACACTGCATAACCTCAATTATCTCTAGAGATTGGAAGTAGCAGAGTAGCCATCCAGATGAGAATACCTTCTTTAATTGATTACACTGATAAACACAAATTTTTCTAAGAGAGAAAAAGCTTGTGGGAGGTACAAGTGGCGATAAACCAAGACCTTCTTCATCGAACAAGGATTTCAGATTCTTTAAACCCAAAAGGCATAGATATTCAAGATTTGGAAGTGAGTTGAACCCTGACCAAAAAACACTCTCTATATTTTTGCAATATCCAATTTCAATCTTCTTGATGGCATCACAAATCAAAACAGCATTGGAACCGCTATAGATGCTCTTCAATTGGAGCAATTTGTTCAATCTCAAGCTTTCTAACTTGGGTAGAGTGACTTTTTCTCTTCCTCAGACCCTATTATCTCCTCCAATTGCTGACAATAACTAACATTAATACTCTGTAGCTTCTGGAGATACCCCAACCACCTAACCGAGAGTAATTTCTTTATTTTATTACATCTATAAACAATAATATATTGAAGAGAGGAAAATGTGCCAACTGGTAGCGGTGCCGACTTAGCAACTGCTCCTATTTCCTCAAACACCGCATTCAAGTTGTCCAAATTACGAAGATCCAGCTTCTCAAGTTTTTGAAGCTTCCCCCAACTTCCAATCTTCTCCCCTTTAAATATGAAGTTGGGTCTTATTATTAAATGCTAAAGTTTGGAGAGATTTTGTAGAACCTCATCAAGTTTTTCAGGTAATCTTCCACCAAGATCAAGATATTTTAGATTTGTTAACATGTTGAGGCCTTGTGGTAGTTCTTCAATTGATTTCCATGAAAGGTCCAACTTTTTTAAGCCTACAAGATTGGATAAAGATGGTACCTCCATTAAGGACTCACAACCCCCCAGCAATGATGTAGTAAGCTTCTCCAATTTGGAAACAGAAGTCGGCAGCCTACTCAGCTCACGATTGTTGAAAAGATCAAGAATCTTGAGCCCAAGCATATGCTCAAAAAAAGCTTCTGGAATCATTGAAATCTTGTTATCAGACAACAATAAGGTTGTGAGCATAGGACACTTCGGAGATGACATGCTTGAAGGAATTTCTATTATGTAATTCCTCATTAAAGAAACCTTCAAAAGATCTTCACTCCATTCATGCTCCTCTGGTAGCTTTTCCAAGGCAATGCCAGCTTTCACCAAAACTTGAGGCCTAATATCCAATGCCATTTCGCGAAAAAGATCATGCATACTCACGCAATCTTTTTCTTCTCTAGTTTTGACTGATTCTAACAAGCAGTTGTCAACCAGCTTCTCAAGCATAACGTGACCTTCACAATTCATTGTGTCCCTAGTTTCCCCTTCTTTATATATAAACCCCTCCTCAATCCAAAACTCAATTAACTCCTCCCTTGGGATTTCAAAATCTTTAGGATACAAGGCACAGTATAAAAAACACTCTTGGCATTGTGATTCTAAGCATTCATAACTGAATTTCAAACAATCAACAATTCCTTCAAATTTACTCAATTTAGTAAGTGCCCATTTCCATGAACGAGGATCCAATTTTCCTCTCATAGTTCTTGCTACTGTCACAATAGCAAGGGGTACTCCGTCACATTTTTGCAAAATTTGCTTAAAAAATGGCTCTATATCTCTTATAATTCTATCATTTGACAACACTGCACTTCCAACTTTCTCCAAGAATAAAATGCTTCTTTAGGTGGAAGAGGATTCACAGAGATCACCTCACACTCCATTGCATGAGCAACATCTTGTAACCGTGTTGTGAGTACTAACTTGCAACCATTATTTCCATCTAGATTAGGAATTCCAACATCTTCTAGACAAAATTGTTGCCACACATCATCTAGAATTAACACAGACTTGCTCTGCCTCAACTTTTGTGAAATCAATCCTGCAAGCTTGGTTTCATTCTTGTGATCCTCGAGCTCCAGTTTTAATTCCAAGCTATTTGCAATCCTTTTCTGAAACTTGAGAATATCAAACGTCTTTTTTTGTTGGACAATAATGTCAAAGTCTTTTGACACTTTTACCCAAATAACTTTGTTAAATTTGGGTTCTTTCAACAGTTGGTTGTGGACTTCCTTCATGATTGTTGTCTTGCCCACACCACCCATTCCCCAAACTGCAATTCTTGTAACCTCATCTCCCTTCAACCATTCCAAAAATTTGATCTTGCATTTCATTCCTGCCACTACATTTTTCAACAGGGAGTGGAACTCCCTTGATTGAGTGATCATCTATGACCAAACTCACACCAGCATTAGTGAATTATTTTCCTTCCTCAAGCATTTGCTTCAATTCTTCAGTGTTTTTCTTTAGGTTGGTTGATGAGGAACATTCCCCTTGGCTGATTAGATCTTCAACCTTTATGGCAATCTATTGGCCTGCTTTTTCCAGCCACTCTTTAACATCCTTCCTCGCAATCTTTCCAAGTTGCATACACTGAGTCTTCAAATTTGCTTCAATGTGTTCCCTTTAATGCTTCAGCCTCTCTTGCTTTTCTTTGAATATGGGTGCACAATACTCCATTGAGTGATCATCTACAACCAAAATCTCACCAGCATTAGTGTATTTTTCTCCTTGCGTAAATGTTTGCTTCAATTCTTCAGTCTTTTTCTCGAGGTTGGATGATGAAGAACATTCCCCTTGGCTGATAAGGTCTTCAACCTTTATGGCAATTTGATGGCATGCTTTCTCCATCCAGTCTTCAACTTCCTTCCTTGCAATCTTTCCAGGTTGCATACGTTGAGTCTCCAATTTTGCCTCAATGTCTTTTTGTCGGAGCTTCAGTTGCTCTTGCTTTTCTTTGAATACAATTGTGCAATACTCAATTGAGTGATCATCTATGACCAAACTCTCACCATCCTTAGTGTAATTTTCTCCTTGCATGCATATTCCTTCATTCAGTGCTTGAGTCTTTTTATCGAGCTTTCTTGATGAGCAAATATATGTGAAACAGCCTCCTTTACGGGTCAAATCTTCAACCTTTACAGCAGTTTCTTTGCGCACTTCCTTACGCCAATTGTCAACTTGGATCCCTACTTTCTTTCCAGGCTGGTTAAGTTGTGTTTAATTTTGCCTCAACATCTTCTAGTTGGCGCTCCAGCTTCTTTTGCACAGCTACGAATTGATCCACATAATCACTGCGACAAAATTGATACTTGACATATCTCCGAACGGTGGGGCCAACGTCCTTCACAATATCAATGGCTGATTTTATGCTATCCATTTGGGAGTCCCTGCATGTATAAAATTGTTAGATATAGGGTAATTATACATTAGAAACTTAAATGACCTTAGGAAATGGATCATGGTGCAATTATAAGATAAGAGAAACAATTTTTGAAATTAAAGTATTTGGGAGAAAATAAAATTGAGTTGGAAATTAATGGCGCCAGTACTATGAAGTATGAATGACTAAGTTAAGTAAAGAAGCTAACAATTAACCATGCGGTTATTGGGCTGGGCAAACTTGCTTTCAAGGAATAAAATACTAGGATAAAAAGTGAGATTACACACCAACTTAGAAATATATATAATTGATTTTTCCTGTTATCTTCTTGGCCACAAATTTTTTTTTTTCTAGAGTTTTTCTCTTCTTTATTTTTTATCAGCAATTTCTCTTGTTTATTGACCTTTTTAGCTCATGAATGGTTAATGTGTTTGCGTTTTGCAGAATGCACACCAATTGGTTGATGTAATGCCAAGCAGGGCATGGAACGATACTTTTTAGATTTGTCATAGCTCATTGGTCAAATTAGAAAATGGTTTAAGAATAATTTTTTTGTACTAACTTTTGGTACCACTTTATTTTTTCTAGAGTTTTCTCTTCTTTATTTTTTATTTTTTATCAGCAATTTCTCTTCTTTATTGATCTTTTTAGCTCATGAATGGTTAATGTGTTTGTGTTTTGCAGAATGCACACCAATTGGTTGATGTAATGCCAAGCAGGGCATGGAACGATACTTTTTAGATTTGTTATAGCTCATTGACCAAATTGAAAAATGATTTGGGAATAATTTTTTTGTACTACCTTTTGGTATCACTTTATGTGCCATTTAAATATTTTATTTTTTTCATTCATTTAGAACCCTTAATATTATTAAAGGCATCTACTAATTTAATGATATATTAAAATTGTATAAAAAATGATACAAAAAGGTTGTTTCTATATCACTACCTATAAAAATTAATTAAATAGTTTGAAATTTGAAGATATGTTGATTTAGAAATGCTAGACTTTGGAAAATAATACTTAAGGAACATCCCTTCTGTACATGTATTTAGAGCTGAACTAGATTATAATATAAAAGATAATTAATAGCCATTAAGATTATATTAATTCAAAAGGAACACGAAAAGATAAATTTATTACTTCATTCCTTTTAATAGACATAATGAGCCATTCAAATTTAGTTATATATCCATTTTTCAATTTTAAAATGTCATTAAATATATTTATTTATTTTTTATTATCATTTTAAAAAAATAATTATAACATATATTAAATAAAAAATCATTTTTAA